TATTGTTAAATTCAACCAATAATTATAATAATAATGATAGTAATATACATATAATATTCTACGATATTATCTACTTTATGGGCGGTTTATATCAGTATAATATTTTAATGTATTGGTTAGGTATAGCTTATTATGCTTATACATTCAAAATATTTCATCTATCACGGGGTCAGTTATGGCATCGGCCATTGAAAGCAATTGATGGCCAATTGATGGATATTAGACAATGGATACCTAACTTAGACAATGATAATGCATTGACTATATTAAATGGTAAACGTATTGTACATTATATTTATAATTTTTTATTTCTAGTTTTTTTAATTTCAAGTAAGCAGTGCATATTACTACTTTATTATTTTATATATAATTATTTTTTTTAATTTCAGTTATAATTATAACATTTATGTGGATCGCAATAGTCTATACATATTATACTTTGGATACATTTTTCCAGTCAATTGTTTGGCAATTGTTACAAATGATACCGTTTTATGTGCTGTTTGTCGACAATTTTATAGGCAGTTCAGCAATGGTTGCATTGGATTATATTTCCGTAATTTTTATTCGTATAATAAATTCAAGAATAATTAACCAAAAATTCAATAAAAATTCAATTATTAATACAAATAGTATTAAATTGTTTATTGAAGATCACAATAGCTTTTGTCGACTAATCAATGAATGCAATAAATCATTTTCAATAACATATTTAGTATTTATGTTGACATTAACGCCGATTAGTTTGCTATTTATTTATCAACTTTTATTTGAATCATTAGATTATCAGATAAAAGTATTTTATATTATTGGTATAATTAGTATATGTAATGCTTTATTTATAATACAATACCGTTTTGCAAAAATGTCGGCTAATATTCATCGGTCGCGTCTATTGTTGTCACGCATTCAATGGCGAGTCAATGGATACCCGTTTCGGATGCGATTCAAAGTCAAACTAATGGCTTATTTTGAACGACTGTCCAGTGATCGCAAAATTGGTTTAACTATTGGACCCAATTGTAATGCTTTGACTTTGACATTGTTTTATCAGGTAATTGAAAAAATAAAATAAATATTGATATTTTTTTTAATTAAATATTTAAACAGAAAATAATTTGTATCATCAATTTGTTTTGATTGTAGATTATTATAAAATATTGTCGTTATTATCTATTGGTCTATAAGTTTGCTAAAAAATTAAAATAATAATATAATAACATTGGTATTAATATATATTGTTTTGTAATTACATTTTTAAACATTAGTACACATTATTTGTTTATTTATTATTATTTATTTATTATATTGACTTTTTAAATAAATAAATTTTTATTAAATACATATTTTAATTATATTATAATTAATTTTAAAAAAAACTTTTATTATTAACTATATAGTCATGTAAATTATGATGTAATTTATTAAAACTATATTTTATAAAATTATGAAAATCATTAAATTTTTTAATTACAAAAAATAATACAGGGTAATTTTTCATTACATAGTTATTAGAAAAGATTGCTAATAATTTTTTTTATTAAATATAAAAATCATTTTAATTTTCTAATAAATTTTAATGTTTTGTTTTAAAGTTTATATTTAATAAAATTAAATAATTTAAGCTAATCAGATTATTTTTAAAAAATAATTACTTAATATTCAATGTTTTCACGTTATAACTCTATTAAAACAAAATATTATTATAATTAATGAAATAGTATATAATTTTTTTTTTAAATTACTTAATAATGAATCACATTATATAGTAATATCACGATTGCTACTAAAATAAAAAATTATATTTAAAAAATATATTTTAATATATCATTAGTATATTTTTGAAAATATTAATCATATATAAAGAAAAGTGATTTTAACAATATATATATATATATTACTATATTTGTGTTATTATAAAAATGTATTTAATAACTTTTATATAATTTTTTATTACTAATATATTAGGGCACTAAATGTATACCAATTATTTTTTTTGTTAATCAATGAGTTGCCAATAAAAAAAAGAAATTATTATTTTAATAATGATTTAACATATCTTATAATAGATTATTTGAAATTTAATATATAAAATAATTACAGTAATATAATCTAATTTATATTATCAATAATAGATTTCTATATTAATTAGTTATATTAAATAAGTAACTTAAAATTTTTTAAAAAATAATTACTGTTAATATATCTGTACTGTAAAATAATTATACAATAATATAGCTAATAATTTATTTATATTAAACAAATATATATATATATACACAGTATATATATATATTATTAAAATATGAAGAAAATATTCAATAATATTTTATATAACAATATTGTTATAATTGTATTATTTATAATAATATTGTTTTCTGTATATGTTTGGCACAATAATCTACTGGACAGACAAATCAATAGGATTCACAACTATGTCTACTATACCGACAACAATGCGGACAAAATAAGTAGTAATAGTAGTAGTGATGACATCAATTTGGTACCCGATATTGTACACTATATATTGTTTGACATAACTGAACTCAGTTTCATACACTACCTGTCCGTACTGTCAGTGTTGCGCAATCACAAACCACGCCATATATACATACACTGCAACTGTTATAAGCTAACTGGTCTTTACTGGCAGCGAGTAAGCCGAGTGGCCGACAAACTAAATACCGTAATCAGTGTTAAATATAGACCCTTATCGTTAGAAATATTTGGACAACCGTTTTATAAACCACATCATAGACCTCATGCATCCGATGTGACCCGTTTACAGGTATAAACATATAAACATTAAAAAATAGTACTTTTAATAAAAAAAATATTTAAATTAAGTTGTTATAATTAATTAAGTAATTAATATTAACTAATATAGAGTATATTTATTATAATTACCACTACAAATACAAACGCACAATTAGTGTTAAAAAATTATTTCAATTTGTTTTTAATTATAATTGAATAAATATAATTATATAAACCGTCATATATTAATATAATTTACAGTATATGTAATAGTAATTTATAAGTACAAACCATTTGCACTTTATTGCAAACCAATGCTTAACTCTGGTATAAACCTAAATTAAACTACAGGTGCTCATCGAAAATGGTGGTATATATTTGGATCGAGATGTCTATGTTGTGCGTTCAATGCACGGGTTGTTGGGTACGGATAAAGTAATTTTCGACTACGAATACGATGGCAGACAACTGGGCGGACAGACACTGATCGCCCCACGAAATGCCCGGTTTCTACAGCTATGGCTCCAATCGTATCGGTTTTATTATGGCGAGTGTTGGCTCTGTAATGTTGAACAAATATCGACAATATTGACCTGGGCCCGACCCGATCTGGTACAGCCAATCGAACCGAGCGGCCAATTTGGGTGCAATATTTATCGGGAGTGTTCCCGTCTCTATCTAAGCTATAGTCCTGATTGGCGTCAAACACACTATACAACACATTTGTGGCTAAGAGGTAACAACTATACCCCGGGGCTAATCTGTTTGGTTGCTTTTTTTAGACTCGATATGCTCATACAGTTTATCGATGAAACCTATTTACGCCAATTGAACACCACTTTCGGTGAGATGGCCCGCGAGGTACTTGATTTTGAGCTAACGTTTCGTTAAAATAATTATTATTATTATAACCGGTAATAGTTTTTTTATATATATAAATAAATGTATTAAATTTAATAATAACTTACAATTGGATTTATATTACTTACTGTAAAAGTAATGTAAATTATATTTTGTATTTAAGTTCAAAAATAATAATAAATTATTTTTCAAACAAAAATTATTGTATTATTTTATATAATTATTATTATTAATATATAAATGTAATAAATAAAATGTTTGAATCACTAGACAATGATTGCAATGATATGACCATAAATTTTATCAAACAAATAATATAATACTTTATATTAAATAATTATATTTATTAATCTACTATATTGAAGGGATAAAAAATTAATATAAAATTTAAAGTTAAAAAACATTTATTTAATAACTATGAGACAAGTGATCACATTATTACAGACAACACAATGATAATAATTAAATTAAAGTTACAGTTTATATATGTTAGTAAAAACTATTAGATATTTCTAGAAATGTAATTAATCTAAAAATACATATTATATGAAATCATTTACAGGAAATCATTAACAATTAATATTAGATATCAATAAACAAAATATATTTTTAAATTCATATTAAAAATATTGAATTTTGATAAACATTTAAATAATTAATTTTATGTAGAAATATGTTTCTACAATATAATCAGTTATTTTTTTAAAAAAAATTAATATAACTTTATTTAGTTTAAATAATTACAATAAAATAATTAATATAAATAAATATAACAAAATATGGTCATCTAAAATTTAACATATCATAGATAACACATATTAAATAATAGTATTAAAGTATAATACAAATTAATTGTTAATACTTATGATAATAATACTTATTAGTTTTAATTTGTTAATTAAAAATTTTTTGCAAATCATAACATTATACAGTATTATTGTTTTTCATTAAAAACTAATTATAGGAAGTTTAAGTTAATTTTTAATTAAATATAATGTTTTAATAAAATTATGACTAATAATTAATTTTAAAAAATATATTATATTTTAAAAATTATGTTATTATACAAAATATTTATTAAATCTTTTATTGTATTATTTATAATAATAATAATAATAATAATTACGAGTTTTGTATATTTTAATAATAATAATAATATTAAAAGTTTATATTTAGTGCCAAACATTGTTCACTATATATTGTTTGACATCGATATCATTGAATTCAATCATTATTTATCAATACTATCGGCACTGAAAACACAACGACCCGACAGTATATACATTCACTGTAATTGTCGTCAACTAAGTGGACACTACTGGCAACGGGTGTCCAGAGTAGCCAACCGTATGGGTTGTCCGATAGTAGTCAGATACAGGGAGATGCATACGAAAATATTTGGACAACCGTTTAGCGAATCGAAGCTACGTTGGCACGCATCGGATGTCACCAGAATACAGGTGCTCATCGAATGGGGCGGTATATACCTGGACAAGGATGTAGTGGTTGTCCAAAAATTAGACCGATTTCGTAACTATGAGATGACTGTGGACTACGAAGTGTACGACCTGTTTCTCGGTACGCAAACATTGATTGCCGGCCGTGAGGCCCTGTTTTTGAGACTATGGCTTCAACAGTATCGCCGCTATGAGGCCGACTGTTGGATGTGTAACGCAGCTGTCCGGCCGACCAAAGAGATTATTAATCGATGGCCCGAATTGGTTCATCGGACAACTCCCGGTGCGTTTGGCGCTTCTATAGAGGAATTGTGTCCGATGCTGTACTTGAGGTATGAGCCCGATTGGAGGCACAAGTACTATGCAATACATCTATTAATGAGAGCCAACTCGTTGACTGATATTAATTACTGTCTCGACCGGAGACCCGATATGATGACTGCTGTTATCGATGAACACTATGTACGCCAATTGAATACAACTTTCGGTGAAATAGCTAGAGATTTGTTAGATTTTGATGTTTGAAACAGTGATTGTTAATTAATTAATTAATTAATTATATTTTTTGTGTAAACTACTAAATAAAAGTAATTAAAAAAATTTGTTTTTATAAAAATTTAAGTATTATTTTCTGTAGTATAAAATAATTAGTTTAAAAGTAAGTTAAACCAATGATTTGTAAATATTAGTTAATATTTAACTTATTGTTAATGAATTGTTTTAGAAAATAGTTTTGATAATTATTATATTTAGTTCAATCATATATTCAATATTATGTTTTAATATATTAAATATACAGTATTATAAAAAATCATGGTTTATAGATTAATAACAAATCAAATATTATAATAAATGATATATAAGTTTGAATATTATTGTTTTGTTTGTGTGCTTTGAAATGTAATTCAATTTATTATTAATACAATACAGTATTATATTATTTTTAATATAAAAGTGATCGCCATTACAAACAATTATTTTCTTGACATTCAAACATTTTTTTTTATTAAATTAAATTTTTTTTATTACTTTTGAACTTAAAGTACAAAATATAATTTACATTACATTTACAAACATAAATCAATTACATAAACTATTACCGGTAATAATAATAATATTATTATTTTTGTTTAACGAAACAGTAGCTCAAAATCAAGTACCTCGCGGGCCATCTCACCGAAAGTAGTGTCCAATTGGCGTAAATAGGTTTCATCGATAAACTGTGTAAGCAAATCGGGTCTATTTTTAACCAAACAGGTTAGCCCACGGGTATAGTTGTTAGCTTTTAGCCACAAATGTGTTGTATAGTGTGTTTGATGCCAATCAGGACTATAGCTTAGATAGAGACGGGAACACTCCCGATAAATATCGCACCCGAATTGGCCGCGCGGTTCGATTGGCTGTACCAGATCGGGTCGGGCCCAGGTCAATATTGTCGATATTTCTTCAACATTACAGAGCCAACACTCGCCATAATAAAACCGATACGATTCGAGCCATAGCTGTAGAAACCGGGCGTTTCGGGGGGCGAGCACTGTCTGTCCGCCCAGTTGTCTGCCATTGTATTCGTAGTCGAAAATTACTTTATCCGTACGCAACAACCCGTGCATTGAACGAACAACATAGACATCACGATCCAAATATATACCACCATTTTCGATGAGCACCTGTAGTTTAGTTTAGGTTTATACCAGAATTAAGTATTGGTGTGCAATAAAGTGTGTCTGTACTTATAAACTAATACTAAATATACTGTAAATTATATTAATATTTATGGTTTATATAATTATATTTAATCAATTAATTAAAAACAAATTGAAATAATTTTTTAACACTAATTGTTTTTTTGTTTGTAATGGTATTTATAATTAAAATATACTCTATATTAGTTAATATTACTGTAGCTAATATTAGTTACTTAATTAGTTATAAAAACTTAATTTAAATATTATTTTTTGTTTAAAAGTATTAATTTTTTATGTTTATATGTTTATACCTGTATACGGGTCACATCGGATGCATGATGTCTATGATGTGGTTTATAAAACGGTTGTCCAAATATTTCTAGCGGTAAGGGTTTATATTTAACACTGATATTGGTATTTAGTTTGTCGGCCACTCGGGTCACTCGATGCCAGTATAGACCAGTTAGTTCATAACAGTTGCAGTGTATGTATATATGGCGTGGTTTGTGATTGCGCAACACTGACAGTACGGACAGGTAGTGTATGAAACTGAGTTCAGTTATGTCAAACAATATATAGTGTACAATATCGGGTACCAAATTGATGTCATCACTACTACTATTACTACTTATTTTGTCGACATCGTTGTCGGTATAGTAGAAATAGTTGTGAATCCTATCTATTTGTCTGTCCAGTAGATTATTGTGCCAAACATATACAGTAAACAATATTATTATAAATAAAACAATTATAACAATATTGTTATATAAAATATTATTGAATATTTTCTTCATATTTTACTAATATATTATTTTAACATATATATATATATATATAAATTATTAGCTATAATATATGTATTATTTTATAGATTAATAGTACAGGTATATTAACAGTAATTAATTTTTAAGTTATTTATTTAATATCACTAATTAATAGCAATTCTATTTTATCAATAATAAAATATCAAAAAAATAGATTATATTAACTGTAATTATTTTTATATTAAATTGCAAATAATCTATATAAGACATGTCTTGTTAATGAATCTAAATTTTTTTTAATGTTAAATCATTATTAAAATAATAATAATAATGTCTTATTTTATTTGCAACTCATTTATTAACAACAACAACAACAACAAATTGGTATATATTGAATGCCCTAATAATAAACTAGTAATAAAAATTATATCATATTAAAATAGATTAAATAATTTTACATTAAATAACAACAAATGTATATTAATTTATATATATATATTGTAAAAATCAGTTTTCTTTATATGATTAATATTTTATATATGGTTTTTTACTAAATTTAAGTACTTTTTTTGTATAAAAATAATTTGTTTAAAAGTAAGTTTATATTTAATTAATTTATATGAATTAAACTTGAAAATAGTTTTGATAATTTTTATAGTTGATTATCATTTATTATATGTTAATATATTTCATATACAATACAGTATTATTTGTAAGATAAAAGTGGTCGCCATTTCAAACAATCATTTTCTAGACATTCAAACATTTTATTTATTACATTTCTATATTATTATTATATAAAATAATACAATATTTTTTTAAAAAAAATAAATTATTATTATTTTTCAACTTAAATACAAAATATAATTTACATTACTTTTAAGTTACATAAATCCAATTGTAAGTTATTGTTAAATTTAATACATTTTCTACTATTACCGGTAATAATATTTTTTTTAACGAAACATTAGCTCAAAATCAAGTACCTCGCGGGCCATCTCACCGAAAGTGGTGTCCAATTGGCGTAAATAGGTTTCATCGATAAACTGTTTGAGCAAATCGGGTCTATTTTTAGCCAAACAGATAAGCCCAGAGGTATAGTTGTTAGCTCTTAGCCATAAATGTGTTGTATAGTGTGTTTGACGCCAATCAGGACTATAGCTTAGATAGAGACGGGAACACTCCCGATAAATATCGCACCCGAATTGGCCGCGCGGTTCGATTGGCTGTACCAGATCGGGTCGGGCCCAGGTCAATATTGTCGATATTTCTTCAACATTACAGAGCCAACACTCGCCATAATAAAACCGATACGATTCGAGCCATAGCTGTAGAAACCGGGCATTTCGTGGGGCGATCAGTGTCTGTCCGCCCAGTTGTCTGCCATTGTATTCGTAGTCGAAAATTACTTTATCCGTACGCAACAACCCGTGCATTGAACGAACAACATAGACATCACGATCCAAATATATACCACCATTTTCGATGAGCACCTGTAGTTTAGTTTAGGTTTATACCAGAATTAAGTATTGGTGTGCAATAAGGTGTTTGTGTTTGTGTGTGTGTGTGTGTGTGTACTTATAAACTAATACTAAATATACTGTAAATTATATTAATATATTATGGTTTATAAAATTACATTTAATCAATTAATTGAAAGCAAATTGAACTAATTTTTTAACACTAATTGTGTGTGTATTTGTAGTGGTATTTATAATAAATATACTCTATATTATTAATAGTTAATATTAGCTAATATTAGTTAGTTAATTAATTAATTGTAAAAACTTATTTAAATATTTTTTTTTAAATATTTAAATTTTTATACCTGTATACGGGTCACATCGGATGCATGAAATTTATGATTTGGCTTATAAAACGGTTGTCCAAATATTTCTAACGGTAAGGGTCTATATTTAACACTGATTACGGTATTTAGTTTGTCGGCCACTCGGCTTACTCGCTGCCAGTATAGACCAGTTAGTTTATAACAGTTGCAGTGTATGTATATATGGCGTGGTTTGTGATTGCGCAACACTGACAATACGGACAGGTAGTGTATGAAACTGAGTTCAGTTATGTCAAACAATATATAGTGTACAATATCGGGTACCAAATTGATGTCATCACTACTACTATTACTACTTATTTTGTCCGCATTGTTGTCGGTATAGTAGACATAGTTGTGAATCCTATGGATTTGTCTGTCCAGTAGATTATTGTGCCAAACATATAAAGTAAACAATATTATAATAAATAAAACAATTATAACAATATTTTTGTATAAAATTTTATTGAAAATTTTCTTCATATTTTAATAATATATAATTTTTTTAGTATAAATAAATTATTAGCTATATTATTGTATTTTACAGTACAGATATATTAATTAACAGTAGTTAATTTTTTAATTTTTAAGTTACTTATTTAATATCACTAATTAATATCAATCTATTATCAATAATAAAATAACAAAAAAATTAGATTATATTAAATTACAAATAATCTAATAAAATAAGACATATTTTGTTAATGAATCTAAAAAATGTTAAATCATTATTACAATAATATTAATAATAATATCTTTTATTTTGGCAACTCATTCATTAACAAAAAAAACTGGTATACATAGTGTAATACATTGAATGCCCTAATAAACTAGTAATAAAATTTAAATAAACGAGATTAAATACATTAAATATATAATAACACAAATATAGTAATATATATATATATTGTTAAAATTAATTTTATTTATATGATTGATATTATCAAAATATACTATTAGTATATATTTTTTTAATAATTTTTTTAGTGATATTACTATAGTGTGATTCCCGGCTTCCCTATTTAATAATAATAATAAAAACTATTATTTATTTTTTAAAAATAAACTAGATAAATTTTTTAAGTTAATAATTATTTGTTGTTGTTGTTGTTGTTGACATACATTATTGTTGAACATAATGGTTAAAACAATCTAAACTATTTCTAACGGGACAGCCGTGTAATCACCAAAAAAAAAAGTTATTTATTGAATCAACCGATAGTAAGGACCAGTAGGACAGCATAATAGCTATTTAGTTATTAATTTCATAATTATTTATATTTTTTTATAAATCTCTAAATTTAAATAATAATTTTATTTATTGAAAAAAAACAAATTATTTAAAATATTTAATTTTCTTTTTAAAATAAATTAAAATATTTAATAATTATACAATAATACAATGTAGTAGTTATTATTAGTAGTAGTAGTACACGGAAAAACAATTATATTTATATTAATTTTTTAATTAAACAATAATATATAAATATATATATATATATATATATATTATTTCTAGTTGCTAACAAAATTAAATATTTAATATTATTAATATAATAAAACCAATAGATATAAATTTATAATATTTAAAATAATAACTTTGACTTTTAATTTATTATCTATGATAATTTCTAGTTCTAAATTAAAATAAACTAAAATAAATAGATTTTTCAAAATACTAAATTTTTATTGATTCTTCAATAATAATAATAATAATATCAATCTATTATATTTTAGTTATTAATAATAATTATTATTATTATTTAATTAATATTTTCTTTTTATAACTACCACAAAAACAATTACCATCACTATTGCAAAAGCCATTGCGTTTTTTCTATAATTAAAAAAAACAAAATTAATTAATTTATTAAAATTGTATTTTAATTTTTTTTAAAAACTATTTAACTAAAATCAATAATAATAATTATTATTATTATTTGTATACATACTAGTGTGTCAACACAATAATCGGCACACTCTATGGTGGTACCGGGACAACCATGTGGACCGACTGACTGTCCCATTGAGTAGTTGATGTCAATAATAAGCACCAGTAGTACACATATTAGTATTACAACTAATAGTTTCATAACTGTTCGAGTCTAATGAATAAATCTATTTAAAATAAAAATAAAATTAATAAAACAATTAATTAATCAATTAATTTTGTTGTAATAATTTAACATGATAATTTTTTACTTACACTACTTTATTTTAATTAATAATTAATTTTTTTTAATTAACATTAATTAACAAAACACTGTTTACAATATTGTTAATTTAAATTAATAATAAAATTATTTTATTTAAGTTTTTATAGTTTTTTGATTTTAATACAGTTGTATAATGTCTATAAGGTTTTTTTTAGCTATGTCATAATAATTAGTATTATGATTATATTTATTATTTTTTAAAATAAACATTTAAAGCTAATAATGAGTAATTAAAAGTTTTAATTTGATAACTTATTTATTAAAGAAAATAAAAATAATTTTTATTAAAAACAAATAATACATAAATTTTTTACACAACATGTGTATAGAAAATAACATTGATTTTTATTTCATATTATTATTTTATATTAAATAAAAAATAATAGTCAAAACATTTAATTTAGTTATAATTATAGTGTAATCAATGATTACTGTTATAAAGTAGACAATAATTATATTATTGTATCTTTAAATTGAAAAAAAATATTTTTGAAAATAAAATTTCTTTTATTAAATAATATTTATTAATCTACTATATAATCAGTAATTTTTTTTTTTTGACAAATACAATTAATATCATGATTGTTTGATTAAATTAATATTTTTTTAAAAAATAATATATAATTAATAAATAAACAAATAAATAAAAATCATAAAATTATAACTATTTAAATTTATAATTACTAAATTTTAATTTACTAAATAAATACTATAGGGATAGCCATAGATGCTTTATTATATTTGTAGGATAACCACCACCAAGCTCATTTACATACACACTTTTTACCCTCACAAAATGCATAATCCTAAAAAATGATAATTTAAATTTAAAAAAATATTTTTATAATACTTATATTAATTTATTAAATATTTTTTTTTAATTAATTAATTAATATTTATTTTTTATGCTAATTATATACCCCTTGTTCATCACAGTGTTGTATACACGGCCGTTGATCGCCAGGACAGCCATAACTACCGTCAGTACTATTGCCTGGAGTTACGGTACTATTATTATCACTGTCGGTACCATTAGTCGACTGTCCCATAATATAGTTGCTGTTGATGTCGACACCAATGGCAAGGACTGCCAATAGGACGGCCAGTGCTAACAGTAAATACTTCATCTATTAAATAATAATAATAATAATAATTAAAAAAAAATATTAAATATAAGTTTTAAAATAACAATATATTTTACAGCAAAAAAAAATAATAAAACAATACTTACATTTAATCTTAGTATTTAAAAAAAATTAATATAAATTTAATAATAATACTTATTATTATTTTTATTATTATCACTAATAATTATTTTTTTAAAAAAACTATTAAATGTTTACCACTATTTATACTGTAATGTAAATAATAATTAGTCATTAAACAACAATTACATCAAAATAATTATTTTTTTTTAAACACATCAATTGTTAAGTTATAAGATAATTAATTACTATTTTTTATAGGTATTAGATATATCATACAATTTTTTAATTAATAATTACAATACTTTTTTTTATAAATACATAGTAATCATATGACTCAATATACTGTATATATTAATATTGTTGTGTTAATACTAATTAGCATATTATTAAATAAACAAAATTTTTAGTTAATTAATTCAAAAAATAATGACAATGTATATTATATCTATTAAGAAATGTATAATTTATTGAATTAACAAAAAATAAACTTAAATGCTTTCATATTATACTATTATAACAATAATAATAATTATAATAAAAGTTAGTTTTTAATAAGTACACTAAAAAATAATTAAAATCAAATAATAATTAATCTAAAAATTTTAACAATAGTAAACATAGTAAAATAATATATAATCAAAATGAGACAGTTTTTATAAAAAATATATAAATTGTTAAATACATTAAATATTTATTTTTTGATAAATCAATTGTGTTTATCAAATAAAAGTTTTATAAATTTAAATAAATGTTTTAAATTATTAAATTTTTATTATTTTATATTTAACTAGTATATTTATTTATTTTTATTATTTATTTTTATTAAATAGTAAATATTTTATAACATGTATTTTATAATAATTATAGTTACTTAAATGCAAGATTATGCAAGATTATTAAACTAAAAAAAAATATTTTAAAAAAACTAATAAATTAAAATAAATCATCAAATAATTTTGATAAAATATTATAAATTAACAATTTTTTAAAAAAATATAAAAATACATGTCATTAATAAATAATCATTTTGATTGATAAATTCAATTTATGCCAATTTTTTACAAAAAAATAACTGCAAAAAATATGTTTTTTAATTACATATATTCATCATCACATCAAAAAAAAATTATTTAAAAAATATAATAATAATAATAAAATCAAAAACAAAAAAAAATTTGCACAAAATTTGATGTACTATTTATGTTTCAAACTAAATGGCAATGAAATATATACATAATATTAAATACATGTTTGATAAATGATTTTTTTTGTATAAAAATCAAATAGTAATTTTTTATGTATTGACATCCCGTTCCTATCATACAATATTAAAGAGCACACACACACACACACACACACACACACACACACACACACACACACACACAGATATATATATATATATATATATATATATACATACACATTATTGGCGATAATTTCCCCTAACTTTCACTGGTTTTCCAGTGCCAGTGTGTATGAGTGTGTAATAACATTATACATACCTGTCCTCTCTCTCTCTCTCTCTCTCACTCACTCACTCACTCACTCTCACACACACTTTCAATCACTCTCTCACTGACACATATATATTAAATCATCAGTTTATATGTGTGTTAACCAAAATTTCAATATCAATTTCCAGTATTAATTATAATACTAATAATAATAATAATACAAATAGTTTATACAGTATTAATAACAACCATTAACTTTTAATGAGTAGTTTGATTTGTTAAGCAAAATGTCTATCAATATTAAGTTAACTAATATTAATTATATATTTTTGGCTGCATTAGTATTATTATTATATTTAATTGTAATACAAGCTACCAGTGCTGCTACTACTACTGAAACTAATAAACCAATAGATGATGTCATTGATGAAAATGAGGACACAAACAGTAATTATGATAATAATAATAATACCGATACCAGTGATTATAGCACTAGTGATGATAAAATAGTTGATGAGACTATTAATACTAATAATAATAATGATTATAATACTACTGCTCCTAATAATACTAGTAATAGTGATGATGATTATGGAGATTATGATGAACTGGAGGACAGGGATGGCGAGGAAGAGGATGATGGAGGAGAATGTGATGCTAAGGATTGTGCCAAAAGTTTTTTAGACAAATGGAAAGTACTGTACAATGAAGGCAAAAGTGAGACAATTGTCAAACAAGTTGAACATATTAACGATACACTGAGGACGTTGAGGACAGTCAAAGAAAATCTACAGTTCCTGTTGAAGCCGCCGGACAATAGCCGGGAACGGTATAAAGCTCTGGAGTTTTTCAGTGAATTGGATTTGGGTTTAGGAGGCGACTGTATGTCTGCACTGACCCGTATGGTAATAGCTATGGCTAATGGAGAGATATGGGCACTTAAATGTAATTATTAATTAATTAATTAATTTTATTACTAATTAATTAGTTAAATAATGTTTACTAAAAAAATACTAATATTTTTTATGATAGTATTAATTAATTCACATTAATTTACTCCTCATATATTAATATGAGATACTATTTAATAATATTTTTTTCATACAGTAGTAAAAATTTATTATCTATTTATTATTATTATTAGTTATTATAATAAATTTTATAATATAAATTAGTTTTAGATATAAAAAAAATATTTTTGTTATATATTGTAAAATATTTTAAAATATAAATAATAATAATAATATATATAGTATAATATCAATTAATTCAAAATACTAATTATACTTTAGTTTAATATTAATATTATATGAGATAAATATCAAATAAGTGATAAATTATTTAATAATTAATTTAGGCACTATAATTAATTAATAAAAAAATTATTTTTATTAATGTTTTTGAATATGCTAATATTTATTATTATTAGTAACTTTGTTTTTTATTTTTTAGTATTTTAAATAATATTTATACTAAACTATTTGCTAATGATATAATAGTAAAATTATTTTTATTATTCTAGTATTTTTATTTTTATTACAAATTTTCCATTTACTAATTTTGGTAAATATAATAATAATAGTTATATTTTATATATAGATTTTCCAATTTATTAAAAAAGATATATATATATTAAAAAGTATTTAGTAGAGAGAGAGAGAGAGAGAGAGAGAGAGAGAGAGAGAGAGAGAGAGAGAGAGAATTAAGTAAAAAAAATTTATAATTAATTTCTAAATTCAAGGTTAACATCATTACATTAATCAGAAACTTAAAAAAGTGTTTTTTCTTCAAATATATATATGATTGTAATATTGATACTAAATTATATACAACTTTATATATTGAATATAAAGTGATACACATTAAAAGCAAATGTATTTTCTATCAAATATTATAGTATTTATGTGATATAAAAGTATTAATAATAATAAATATTTTACACACTTAAATATACAGTAAATGCATAGTTAACACACATTATAGATATACAGTAGTTTAATATATATTTTTTTAAATATATTTTTATGACTAGCGATAAATTACTAGATTATAACAATGTTGGGGAAAATATAATTTTTGAATTTACATCACAATTCACAAAATATTAAAAATAATAATTATTATTATTATTGATAATAATTTATATTTAGCTAACATTTTATTCAAAACTATTTTTTTAATTATTAAAATAATTATATTTTTAATTAATACAGTATTATTTACAATAATATTTACAATTATTTACAATAATACTGTATATTATATTATTTTATTGTTTACTAATTATAATTTAGATTAAAGTTTATGTTAATTAATAATATTTTTTAAAATTTATATAATGTTAGCACAGTTTATTTACTTTTATATATTACTGATTAAATTTTAAACTAAAATAAAAATAGTAATTTAAAAATAAATAAAAATTTAATTATTTACAATAATTTTTTAAATAAAATATATAGAAAAACATTTTGAAAAATTTAAATATTTTTTTCAAACAATAAAACTAATAAATTTATATAAAAATTAATTATGATTTTACAAATAAATAAATTTAATACAGTAAACTATATGATTATTATGATATTATGATAAATATTATTAAGTAATTTAATTAATTGTATTTTGTTTAGATTTTAAACAAAACAAAAATTATAGTTAACATAATCACTAAATAAAAACTATAATTAATATCATTTATTTTTAAATTTTTAATTTAAGTAAAATTTAATTAATTATTACTACTTACTTAAGTTATACTTATAGTTAGGCATATATTAAATATTTTAAATATAATGCACAATTAAATTATTATAGTTTTAAATATTACTCTAAATATATATTTATGTTAAATAATTAGTTTTTAAAACTGTAATATTTTAATTATACATAAAACTTACCAAGTTTAATATGTCTCAATAATATAGATTTATTGAGCTTAAAAGCACAAGCGTTTGTAATTTATATTATTTTATTTTTGCATAAATATCGATAATAATAATATTTTTTGATAAAATTAAAAAAAATTAAATAAAATTATTTATATTTATATAAAATAAATAAATAGTATTTTTTTCATTTGTTTTTTTCATTTAGTTATCGATTCAATGGGTCGGCCACTGGTGTCTGGGTTTGCTGAGGGCTTACAGTCAAACTTTGGCGAATACCGTGAATGTCTGTCCATTGCCAGTCCGACGGACAGCCAGAAACCCCCAATCACTGGCCAGTACTGTCTGGCCAAAGCTATACTACCGTATCCGACAGTGGACTCGTTGACAACGCCGTCGGCCTCGCAAGTAGTGGTCAATAATACTATTGACGGCTCAATCGATACCAATCTATACACCAGTTTGTTTACACACTACGGACTCAATCGATTGGCAACTGTACGTAATTTTGTCGAAACCCTGAATCTGGCCAACGGTACTATATTTAGACTGGGTATATGCATACCGTCCCAGTGTACGGCCCGGGAGTTTGAAAGTTTCCTAAATAAATGTATAGTTTTTTTTATTGTTTGTATAATTATTTTTATATCTAAATATATATATATATTGTTTATTTGATTACACAATAGTATTATTTCCCGTAACACGTATTCCCATAGAATTGGGTCCCGATTGTCAACAACTAGCTGATGAAACTAAACTGGATAACTATCAAATTTTATCAATGTAAGTTATCAAATGTAAATTTTTTGTTAGTTTTTTTTTAAATATATATATATATATATATATATTATACATTATATATATTTTTAATTAAATTTATTAAATTATATAATGCAAATAATTCAATATTATTAATATAATATATTATACCTGTATTTATATAGTATTTTAAATAATTTTATATTAATTAGAAAAAATAAGCTAGCTTAATAATTTTTAAATATTAAATTAATAATTATATAATAATAAGTAAGCTTATAGATAGCTAATTAATTTTGTTTATCTATAATTTTTTTTAATAATTTAATTTTTTTTATAATTAACCCAGATCAATTTTGACAATATTGGCAATATTGATAGCTTTTAGCACGTGCTACGAGTGGCTGATATTACGTGTTAATACAACTACTACTACTACTACTACTACACCCGTTATCTCTGATAACGACATATTGTTAACCAGTTTTTCATTGATCCGAAATACCAGTTCATTGTTTAATAACAATAATAATGGCAACAAATTTGTTGCATTGGATACCATTAGACTGCTATTGATATTCAATGTACACGCGGGACACGCATTCACGTACACCACATCCCTGGGCGCGGTTGGCCTAAAAAAACTGTTCAGTGATGTTGTATTCAAAGTCTATTCAGATAATGAATATGTTTTTGTTAGAAATCCACTAATCATTGACGCATTTTTCACTTTAAGGTTAGTATCAAAAATATTTAAAACTAATTAAAAAAATTAATTATTATTAGTATTATTGTATTATAACTAACAAAATAAAAGTTTATCAAACATTATATATAATTATACCCAACAATAACAAAAATAACAATTTAAAGAACTAATAACTATTTAGTAGTTAATAAATTTAATAATAGTAAAAGTTTTTTTTTGTAAAAAAAATATATTTAATTAAATACTGCATTTAATTAAAAAAAGTAATTATATCAAAATAACTTAATTATTAGTAACTATTACTAATTTTTTAATAAAAAAAATATTTTAATTTATAATTAATTAGCGGATTATTACTATCCTATGGCTTATTGCGAAAGTTAGACAAAACTAACGGCCAATTTTCGTACGTGTCGTTCATTATTCAACGTTGGCTACGCTTTGCTGTCCTAATATTGGGCTCACTGTTATTCATCTACCTGTTCCCGTTGACCGGTTCGGGACCTATTTGGCAGTCGGGTATCGGCTGGGTAACCACTGGCTGTCAAAACCCCGTAAATTTATTGAAAATGTTACTATTTGTACATAATTTTAGGGATGACCACAAAGATCAGCTAACATTAGCCAATTCAAAGGTATGGGTATATAACTTATAAACCATATATATATAAATAAATTTATACCTAACAGTGCAATCCACCAACATGGTTTCTATCATCACTACTACAACTAACCATAGTTGCACCTGTATTTGTTATCATATACTATCGCAATCGTATGTACGGCTCGCTGGCCACTGTAGCAGCCGTTATTTGCGGCACTATGGCCAGCATAGCACCCTACATACTGTTCCACTTGAAACCATACCTACAACTATGGGATCTGGAAACTGTACTGTTCAGTGTATCCCGTTCCTATACCTGGTATCACTTTACACCAAACAACTATGTGACAGCATTTTTCATAGGCATCGGTACCGGTTTCTGTCTATATAAGCCCAGCGGTACCAGTAGTTATTTGAAACCCACTAATAGGATAACTGTGCTAATATGGCTAATCACCATACCTGTATGTACCAGTGTTTATTTCTATCATAATACATTTTGGCGCCTAGATCAATCGGCACCGTTAGCTAGTATATTATTGTGGCATTCACTGGGAAAGTTAGTATTTTGTTTGGGCATAGCCTGGATCTATTATGCACTGTGCACCGGGAGGGCAGGTATGTTACCCATCAACAATAGTTATAATAATAAAAAATTCATATATAAATAATATGATCTAGGTATATTGAATACAATATTGACATGGCCAATATTTCGACCCCTGGCCCGACTATCATTTGGTATCTATATATTACACTATATGGTTGTTATGCACCGTATATTTACCAATCAGTATACCTATGAAATGACCGATAAATATATGGTTTGTTTGTTTTATTATTTATAATATAATATAAATTAATTATAAAAATGTAAATTAATTAACAATTTTTTAAAAATATTATTTATTTATTTTTGGAAATAGTTTGAACATTTAATTGTCGACCTATTGTACGATATAATACTGGCCTATATTTTCTATGTAGTAGTCGAGTGTCCGATTGCCAGTATTATTGGACTGGTATTTAAATCGATGGCTACCAGTCCTACTACTACTACTACAAAACATCAACCTAGTAATTATGTACTATCATCTAATGGTATAAAAAATGTCCAGGCTAATAAAATTGATAGTGAAAACAATTTAATGTACATTGATAAACTATCTAATAATAATAATAATAATAATAATAATAATAATAATAATAATAATAATAATAATAATCTAAGTGAACTAGCTGATTATATTAAATACAATACAAAACTTTAGTTAAGTGTAAATGTTTTAGATTTTTATTTAGTTTCATAATTTTATAAAATTTATATAATAATTATTTTATTTTTTAAAATAAATATATTAATAAATATTTTTTGATACCTAATAAATAATATTATAATATATATTAATAAACTATTTAGTAAAAATGTATTTATTTTATATAATTAATAAAAAAAATTTTAAATATGAGTAATATTTTTGTTTAAAAACTTACAGATAATAACAGTGTTGTAAAAAACTTGTAATAACAACAAATAAATATTGTTTATACAAAAAAAACAAACAAAATAACTTTTAGTTTTATTTGATTAATTAATTTCAGTTAATTCATAATAAACATGATATTTGATTTCATTAAATTATAATTTCAAACAAACAAAATGATTGTTTTAAACTATATTAAAAAAGTATTGAATTTATTAAAACTTTAAATTTTTATGTTTAGATTACATGTATTATCATATCGTATGATACAAACACAGGTCTAGACATAGAAAATAAACCCAAAATTTAAGTTCATTTTCTATAGTTATCTAAACTTTTTACTAGTATTTTACATACATATCTGTAATGTATTTATATTATATTAATAATAATAATATTAAACTAATTATTTATTTTATTTTAAATTACAATTAAATATAGTTAATCTATAATAATTAATCGACTAATTAATTAATAATTAAACTATTATGCTGTAAATATTTATTATATAAATTTTTATACAAACATATTTTTTTTATATATAAAACAACAACAATTAGATAAATCAATGATTATATATTCAAGTATTTGTTCAACTTTTGAACTGTAGATAACTAACTACCCGAACCTAATTTGGGGAAAGTCTACATAAGATTTTTTTGTCCAATAACAACACGACTGTCCCCTAAATACCTGTAATATTTTACATCCATGATGTCTACAGGTATGGATTAAATACATAGTTTTTTAAAAAAAAATATTAGTTAGTATTTTATTTAATTATCTATCTATTTGTTAAGGCCCTGTCCTCGGGGAGGCCTACGCCAAATAAAGTGTATATACAATATATATATATATATATATATATATATATATATATTGCGACATTACTGCAAAAATATTGGATCAATGCCATCACCCGATAGATAATACCTAATACAACAACACTTGCTTATGTGGATTCAAAATGTTAAATCGCACCCATATTTGTGAACCAGTAGTTTTGTTTGTTTTTTTAAATAATAATAATATCAATAATTTATTATTATTTAGATTAAATAGCTATTAAATTATTTGCATCCATACAGTATGTTTACATTAATTATAATCTATAAAAAAATTATTTGTAAACTTTATAAAAAAAATTCCACTTTTAATTATACTATAAATGTTTTTTTTCAACAAACAAATAACTTTATTGATAAAACTTAACCCTTTTTTCTATTACTATATTATTAATATTGTATATAAATTATATAGTAGTAGTAATAATAATAATAATAATTAAAAAAAGAGTTAAATTTTATCAATTAATTTATTTGTTTGTTTGTTTATTGAAAAAAACATAAATCAAATCAAAATAAATGTTTATTTAGTTTCAAATCAAATAATGTCAACAAATGTTAATTTTTTTCACAAACAAAAATAACTAAAAGTTGGTATTTTCTCACATTTTTATTTAATTGTATAAATAATAGTTTTTTTATTTTATTTTCAATGTTATCATCAGTTTGTTTTTTGATTTTATTAATAACAAAGCTATTAATTGTAATTTTTTATTTATATTTTATTTAAAAAAAAATTATATTTTACAAAATAAAAACAAAAATTTAACAAAAAAATTAATTATTATTATTACTAAAAACATTTATTCAAAGTCACACATAATAGAGTGAAAATAAATAATATTATTATACATACATTAAAAGTTTTAATTTATATACTGTTTAGCAAAAAAAATTGTTAATTAGTTATTATTTTTTTTAAATTTGACAAAAAAAAATAAAATAAATGTTTTTATTAACACAATTATATTTGTGGATTATATCGGATATATGGACAACAGTAATAACATTACTAATCGGTTATGTTGTCTACAGTGTCGTTAAATTTTATTACCGATACTTGAGTCTACCTCCCGGTCCATTTCCATTGCCATTGGTTGGCAATATGTTAAGTAAGTAATCAATTGATTTTATATGAAATATAAAGTATTATATAATATTTATTAATATTATTATTATAAGCATTTAGATCCAAACCTCATTGGGACGACATTATTAGACAGTTGGCTGAAAAATATGGACCAATATTTACTGTATACATAGGTAGTACACCTCAAGTTATTGTTACCGATGCAGACATTGCCAGACAGGCGTTTAGCAAAAATAATTTTGCCGGACGACCCGATTCTCATTTTGGTAATTATAAAGTTTTTATTTTTTTAATAAAAAAATACAAATTATTTTTAAAAGCCATGTCCTCTTATATATATTAGCTTTCAATTACATTATATACATGTTTTTTTATTGTTGTATTTTATTTTGTTTTATTGTGTTTTATTTTTATATTAAATAACAAAAAAAATAATTTAACTACAAATATTTAATATATACAATTTTATTTACCTAAACTTTAATTATATTAGTATATATATATATATTATTGGTTAAAACACAAGTATTTAACACAATTTTTTTGTTCAAAAAATATTGTGTTAAATATAACGAGAAAAAAACACAATTAATTAATAATTGTTAAATTAATAACTAATATACTATTAATATTTTTTTGGGTGTGTGTATGTAATTAAAATAAAAAAATATATAATAATAATTATTATTATTATTTAAGGAACCTTATTAGCCAATGGAGTAGCTATGACTGATTACGGTCCCAATTGGGAAGCACGTAGACGGGTGGCGCATGCGGCAGCCATGTACACGTGTTTTTATTTTATTTTTTTCAAATAAATATAATAAATTAAAACAATTTTTTGACTCAAAAAAAATTGTTTTGTTTTATTTTAATAGGAAATATTCAAATAATGAACGTCTAGTAACCGTTGCCGTCGACTGTATGGACAAAACAGTTCAAACAATGTTGGAAAGGGAGGGTCCGGACACACCTATTAATCCATCCGATTATATATATCTAACATTTCTAAATATTTTGGCCAACAGTGCACTAAATGAAAAGTAAATAATTATACAGTAATATAAATTTATTAATATTTATAATTGAATTGTTATTAGTTATACTATCGATGATCCGGAATTTATTAAAATCAAATATGTATTGCGAGACCTATTGATAGAGTCGGGATCCCGGTTCCTGTTATGGCAATACTCTAAACTAGTTCAATGGTTAGACTATAAAATGGTCGGGAAGGTTAGCCGCGAGTTTGATGAGTTAAGACAATTGATTGTCCGAAAATTTCAAAAACATTACACCGATTATACACCAGGTATTGAACGCGATATTTGCGATGCACTGATTACAGCCAAATATGATGCCCTGAGAGAGGGCCGGGAGTCGGCACCCTATCTGACTGATGAACGACTTGGTTATACAGTTTTCGATATGTTTTTTGCCGGTATTGAAACATCCTATCATACTTTCCTGTGGTTAGTCCTGTTGTTAGCCTATTATCCAACGGAGCAAAATAGACTACGACAGGAAATTGATAGTCAAATTGGTGAACGATTACCCAGACATGAGGACAGACAACAGTGTCATTATGTGATGGCATTTATAGCCGAAACTATGAGATTCAGGAATGTCCTGCCATTAGGTTTGTCTCATAGGGCTGTCGTCACCAGTAAAATAGGTAAACGATTTTATTGTTGTTTATTTTGTATTTAGTATAAAAAGTAATACTAATAATATTGATATTTTTATAAAATACAAATATATATTATATATAGTATATACTTATATACAGTATATATATATATTATTTATAAAATACAAATATATATTATATATATAAGTTTATATACTGTATATATACACTCATAACTATTTTATTTCTTATTGTTTTAATTTTACTAATAATCTATTCTATATTTTTTTAAAATAGTTTTTAATTAACTATAAATTTTAGATAATAATTAGACCAAAAAAATAATTTCCTTAAAAGTATTATACAGTAATTTATTATATATTTTTGGAAATAATTTTTTATATAATCTATAATTAATAAATTTTGTTTGTTTTTTTTTAGGTGACTATACAATACCTAAAGGACTACCAGTGCTCGTCTATCAGGGAATTGTATTGCGAAACACTAGTAACAACAACAACAACAACAACAACAACAAGTACTGGACAAATGGTGACCAATTTCTACCCAACCGTTTCCTAGACAGTAACGGCCATTATATGACTACCCGTTCGCCAGCATTCATACCGTTTGGTGTGGGACGTCGTAAATGTCTGGGCGATAGGCTGGCCATTGCCGACCTGTTTCTTGTTTTAGTCCGATTTCTACAGTCGACACACAACTATGATATTGTTTTGGACAGTCATCACGATTTGGATGCCAGTCCACAGAGTAGTGACGCTATAATACCCTATGATTATACTATTATATTGAAAACTAAATAGTATAGTGTAATCATAGGGTATAATAGCGTGACTATACCGGTATATTATCTATCAATATATAATAATTATACTTGAATTTATCATTAGTTATTATTATATGTAGTAATTTAGTGATTATTTAAAAATTTTGTTTTTTTTCTATACATATTTTGTTTTTATTATAATTTGATTTATATTTCTGATTTTATGTTAATATTATTTTTTTAAATAATCTAATATTACTACAATAACTTACAGGAAATCAATAGATGTATAATATATATATATATATATATATATATATAAGTTATATATATATATGTAACTTAATATATTTATATTGCAATATTTTTCAGAAATATCTAATATATTTGTATTCATATAATAAACATATAAAATGATTGCAATTTTAGTCATAATGTTTGAATCCAGTGATTAACTAAATATAAGTTTAATAAAAAAAAAATTTAAATATTTTATAATTAACTAAACTAAAAACTATATTGAATTGAAATACTGTATATTATTTCAAAAAAAATATTATGTAAATAAAATTATTTTTTTAAATAAAAAAAATTTTACCGGAAAAAGTTAGTAACAATTTTTCATTTTTGATGTCCAGTGACTCACCAATTAATTAATCATTGATTACTAATGGGTATCATATTATAATAAAATGTGTTTTTTGTATTTAATATTGTTTTATATAAGTATATAATAGTAATAAGGTTACGGAAATTAGTTTATAATTTTTTGTAAGTATTATTAGTTAGTTAGTTGTATAAATCAATTGTTAATTTGATATTTTGTTGTTAATTTAGCAGATAATCGGAAAAATACTAGATATTATATAATAATAGTATAAAAAAAGATTATTTAAGAAAAATTGTTAGTCAGTCAGTGAACAACAATGAATAGACAATCGTTTGATCGTTTTGGCGATAATCTGGTCAAACAATTGATCCGATATTTGCCGACTGTCGACAAATTGCGATTACAGTCGATGTCCAAACAGTTTCAACGGGCAATAGAGACGATCATCAAAGTTCAGCTAAGATTTGATGGCAAACAGATTGAATGTGTGAAGACTTTCGGTGATTTCAAACGCGGTTTTGTCGACACGAAAGTCAAAGATATCGTAAAACTAGCGAAAGACTCGTTTGATCGGTTCGACGACGAATTGTGTCGACAATTGCTGACCGGACTGTCTATCGGTAATCGGCTAAGACTTCAATTGGTTTGCAAATGTTTTCGTCGAGTAATATTCAGTACACAAACGGATCTCTATTTCAATGGCAATCAACTGATCAAACAATACAAACATTTTGGTAATAATATGTTTGAATTGTTTGAGACACTCGTAAAAAACTTTCCAAACCTCAGTCGGGTTTCGATCACTGGTATCGATAGGATGACCGACGACTATCTGCAACTGTTGATGAAATACTGTCCCGAATTGCAACGTTTGTCGATACTTACAAACGGATCAAGATTTTGGTCGCTAACCGAACCAACGGTAGACATGTTTTTCGGTAAACATTTTGCTAAACAGTTGCGATCGATTCGGATAAATACTTTTGATCCGAAAATTGTTGTCAAATGGCTGCCACTGTTGGATCAATTGGAAAAAGTAATACTCATTGAAGATTCAGATGAACATCGATTCAATCATTTGATACATCTATACGATGGCGGCGACAGTCGTAGGTTTCGTTTGCCAAAATTGTTGAATTTGTTGAACATTCAGGTGACCGCCGATGCCGATTATGTATCATTGTTTCGGCAATTTGCTGGACAATATGGCCGTCAACTCAAGTTACTGGATCTGACACTACTTAGCTATTTTGATGGAAAAAATTGTCATCGTTTGGTCCAAACAATGGCATTGTTGTCACAGTTACGGGGTTTTCATGTAATTCTTAACAAAACAAATGCCGATCAATATCTGGTAGCTATGGTGGACCACTTGGCCAACACTGGTGACCATCAATTGACTGGATTGACTATAGTCGGCGGAACCCTAAACAAGCCGACAATCGTACAGCTGATGGCCATTATTAGTGAACATAGAGGTGGCCGCCGATTGAAACGATTTAACATTAGCGTTGGCACCCGATACGATGCGGACGACCAGTGGTCACTGACCAAACGGATTACAAGTTTAGCGCTGAAATCGATGAATCGGTTAACACATTTGTCTATTTATGTGACAACTAACCGATTTGCTGATGAATTTCTGGCCAATATTGGCCAACATTTGCCGCGTCTCGAGTATTTGGATATGCCGTTTGTTGGGATTACCGACAAAACAGTGAGCGAGTTGGCCAAACTGAGACACTTGCGATCACTGCGACTAACGGATGTCGACAACACTGATATCGGCGGCGACGGCGGTGGTATCGGTAAACAGTTGGTCATCAAATTGATTCAAAAACAGCCAAAACTGACCAATGTTTTTGTCAATCATAACGCGTCCAACAAATTTATCATGGGCAATTTGTTTTACCAATAATTAATTATTTATTTATATTAATATTATATAAATTTAAATAATATAGTAAAACAATTTAAAAAAAAGTTATTAATAATAATACATTAATATTCATATCATAAAACTTAAAAAATTATTTCTCATTATTATTGAAATTTTAGATTCAAATTTGTAAAACTAATTACTATTATAATAATTAATTATAATTAAATTCAAGTTAAATATATATATATATACATATTTATTTATTTATTACATATTAATTTTTTAGTTAATAAATCAAAATAATCAATGGTTTACTAAAAAAATATGATAATCAAGAGTTGTTTTTTTGATGAATAACTTTAGTATTGATTTAAACTATTCAATCAAGTAAAACGTTTATTACAATTACTATAATCACACATTTGAATTCGGAAAATACTGAAACAAACAAATCGTGATTAAGACAAATGTATTGATTATAAGTCTAGTGAATAGTAATTTTTTGATTAAATGTTTGATCGCAATACTCGACATCACATTTGACAGTCTCTTCAAATGCGATTTAATTTAGAAATTTTTGCGACAATTATTATAATTACAAACTAACGGCCGCTTTATATATATATATATATATATATATATATATATAATGAACACTAGATTTATATTGAAATAAATTTTGATTTAATGCAAATTTTTTCCCCCGGAATTTTTATATCACACATGTATTTAATATTCATATATTTGATATTTTTATGATATACAAGTCCAGATAAAGTTATAAATATTTTATTACAATAATTGTAATAAAATATTTACAACTTTTTCTGGACTTGAATATCATAAAAATGTTTAATAATTATTATTAAAAATTTTATGTCATTTGAATGACTCAATTGATGACTATTTAAATAAATGTTTTATTATTAGTAGTGTACCGACATTTGGGCCAAAATAAAACACGTGCATCGCACGTGTTGTTGTCGTCATAACAGTCGTAATCAATAACTATTTAATGTATTTATTATTTTCAGAAACAAAAATTAAATTATATTAAAAATAATCAATGAGTTAGTCTGTCTATCAGTTAATAAATCAGTTATTGCATAGTAATTGTGCCATCAATTAGTGTAAATTAGCTTTTAATTTAATTTCTGATTTTTATTTAATATTTTATATTGATTTTATAAAATCAATATTTTTTTAATAAATGTAATTTTAATATTTATTTAATAGTGTATATTAATTATAGCTTTTACTTAATTTTTCTTTATTATATTTTTTTATTAATAAATACAATTAACAAATTAATAATGTTAAGATAATAAATAATAATAAATATAATTTATAGCATATTTAAAAAAAAATTAAATATTATATAAGTATTTATCTGTTTATTATTAATTTATAAATATATTTATTTTTTTAGAAAATAAGTACATTACTTTAAACTATTTTATATTTATATATATAAATAAAGTTTAATGCTAGTTTGTAAATGTAATATAAAATATTATTATTATTATTATTATTCAATATTTAAATTATTATATTTTTTGAAAGTATTAATTAAAATTAAATTTAACTATAAGTATTAATATTGCCGATAAAATAATATGTTATATAAAATTTTCAGTATGTTTTTTTACTACTATCATTAGCACTTGAATTAAAAATGAATAAATAAATAATTTTATAGATTTTAGTCTATTATATATTATATAAATTAGTTATGTTTTATATATATATATAGATATATATAACATTATATAACAATAGTAGAATAATTAGTATTCAAATAGTAAATGAATAGACAAACTGGTATTTATAAAAACCATTATTACTTTTATTATTTTTAAAAAACATTTTTTCAAAAAAAGTAATTATTATGTACAGTACAGTACATGAATAATATTTTATTATTCAATAGAAATATTTGAATATATATTATCTAATTGTTGTTAAATAAAGGGTCTAATATTAGATTCAATTTGAAAATGTTATAAACAATATTATAATAGAGACATAAGTATAAGTAAACAATTTTTTTTGTAAACAATTAGTATTATAAAATTAATATGTAGATTTTTTAAAAATATACTGTACTAGTGTATATTTTTTTAATTAAATATTTTTTTAATTAAATATTTTTTAATTAAAACTACTTAATATTAATATTATTAGTATATTTGTTTATTATTGTTTTAAATATTAGTGTTTTTTTAACCAGCTATATATTTTAAAAATAATAATAATAATTTATAATTTTAGTTATTGCAAACTAACTGTTAATTAGCTTGATAAGTTATGTATTTTAAATTAGCTCCATATATAGTATGCGAGAGGAATCTACTAAAAGAAACTCATCCGTATCAATTTGATCATAAATTTCAACAATTAGGCAATTTTACGTTTACCTGGCCAACATTTGTAATTAATTTTATTATTTATTTATTTTTAAAAATTTGTAATTTATATTTATATGTAAATAAAGTTTAATGCAAGTTTATTTAATAGTTTGTATTAGCAATATAAAATAATAATAGTATTATTATTCAATATTTAAATTATTATATTTTAGAAAATATTAATTAAAAAATTAAATTTATCTATAAGTATTAATATTGCCGATAAAATAAAATGTTATACAAAATTTTCAATATGTCTTTTTTAAAAATAATTATAAAATAAATTAAATATATAATTTTAAAAAAAAACATTATATTTATATATTTTTTTAAGAAATATTTAATTTGAGATATAAAAATATTTTTAATGATTATTATTATATATATATATTTTTTTTTTAAAAAAAGCATCCATTAATAGAAAATCAATATTTTTGTGATCTAAATTTTAATATTATATATGAATTGACTAGACGTATCAATTATGGGTATATATATATTTTTTATTAAAAAAAAAATATTTATTTTATTTATTTGTAACTTGTATTATTGTATTTTTTTAAATAATTTAATTAATAATTATTAGTGTTATACCAATTGCATTGGACAGTAATGTTACCGATCTATATCCCGGTTTGGATTTACATGAAATAACACTAAAATGTGCAGAAACTATGGTAATTATATTTATTTATTTATTATTTTAATAATAATTGTAATATTTTTTAATTATTATAAATTTATAATTATATTTTTGTTTAGTTTTAATAAATAAAAATTTTTAATATTTTTTTTTATAAAAAGCGAGTAGATTTAGTACCGAATGAATTTCATCTGAAGTCCGATCTATTAAATCAATTTCATTTGATATGTCCGTATAAATCGTTGAGTGCCGTAATTATGGGCACTTATTATCCGATAGAATCGTATAATAAATTCTATGGTATTGCAGATATACTAACTAATTATGTAAGTATTTTTAAAAGATTTTAAAAATTTAATTTCAACATAATTTTAAACAAAGATTTTATTCATTTTTTTTACTATAAATAACTTTTATATAAAAACAAAATTAAATTATAGATTTTTTTTTCTTTATATTTTATTTAATCAATAGTCTATAAAATAATTGATTTTTAAAAAATATTAATCATTTTTTTATTTTAATTAAAAAAATAATAATTAGTTTTGGTGGAGTTTTATTTTGAGCATACTCGTTTCAACAATATTATATGCTGTTTATAATAATAAAATAATTAACATTTCATACAATCATAATAATACACAATTGTACGTATAATTAAGCTATATTTAAAAAAAATAATTTTATTTTTGAGTGAAATTTCTATAATTGTAATTCAGATAAAATAAATTAAATTATTAATTAATTAATTTTAGTTCAACTAATAATAATAATAAGTGGAATATTTATACAGAATTTTGGCAAATATGTAATGCATTGGGTATGGGATGTAAGTTATAATTTAAAATTTATATTAAAATAATATATATATTTAATAAATATATATATTGATATATATATATACAGTATTTGTAATATTAATTTTTTAAAAAAAATCTATTTATTAAATTAATTTAGTTTCATTCAAATTGACTTCAAATTATTTTCACTATATATTGTTTGGCACACTATTCATAGTGAATGCATTGACTATTAATCTAATCAATCAGGAAATAATGTCAATATATATTGTCAATCCATACCAAACAATCAATACATACGATAGCCTATTAGCTCATAGGCCTAAACTAATCATTAAATTTGTTATGCTTTACGAACGATTCATTGTGTTTAAGGTAATTTGATTTTTTTTTAAATATAAATTATAGTAAAAAATATTTTTTTTAAAACAAAAAAAACATTACATAAGTAATTAAAGTATTTAAATTGTATATATAATAGAGATATTTTATATAGATATTTTAAAACTATTAAATATTATTATACGAAATAATTTTAATTTATTTAATTTATATTAATTTAATAATATATTATTTTAATATTATATTAATATATTAATTTAATTAATATTTTTACGGTTATATACTATATAAAGTTTACAGTAATTTTATATTAAATAATTTTTTAAATATTATTTAATAATATCAAAGTATTATCATAATTATTATTATAATTAGTATTATAATTAGTATTATAATTATTATTATAATTATTATTATAATTAGTATTATAATTAGTATTATAATTAGTATTATAATTAGTATTATAATTAGTATTATAATTAGTATTATAATTAGTATTATAATTAGTATTATAATTAGTATTATAATTAGTATTATAATTAGTATTATAATTAGTATTATAATTAGTATTATAATTAGTATTATAATTATATTAATATTATTATTATTATTATTAATTATTTTATTATAACTATACATTTTTATGCAAAAAAAACAAAACTTTATTATTAAAAAAAACAAATAATAATTAACTTTAATTACAAACTGAAAGAACAATTCGACACCAATTGAACAGAAAATATTGAAACGAGCGATAGGTCTGAACCGATACCAAACCGGTTCCCAATTGAATGTCTTCGATGTAATAGAAATGTTGAAAATGGTTGTCCACGACTTACAGCG